GTTTTTCTCTCTCGTTTTCTCATTTAGTGTACTACTGCTTTCCATACAACGAAAGATCTCGATATCCGGGACAACAAACCCAACAGAATGCGATAAAAAAAACTTCCTAGAAAAGCGACGAGGTCGCACAGGAAACACCACATCTTCTCTGGTTCCCCCTCTTCTCCGCTTCACCAAAACGCGCGCAGTGATTGAGTTTCTCTTCTTCGGGTTCTCTCTTTTGTATATTATGTACGAATAGGCGGTTTGGAGGTGGTGGATGAATGGAGGCCTTCTCTCCTAGCCTCGACAGTCGCTTGGCAAAGGCGAATTATCTGGGGTTTTTGTCGTCGAGTATATTAGCCACGGCGCCATGTCAATGTATTACTATTCATCTGCTCGAAAAAAGTGTTACATTTGAGGTGGCTTCACTGGTGTTACTCTAGTGTCGTATAATGAGATATCTCTCCTTGAATTATCTGGCCATAACTCACATACCGATTTCTCTCTCCCTTGGTGTATGACATGCTCCCACAAACCAGTCTCACGGACGAACGCACCTCCCCAGAACCATTCCCGGAGCTAGGCGGAAACCCCGCGTAACAAGGCACCAGTCATGATGAGGTCGACCATGCAACTACGCACACACGACCCCGACCTAATCGGCGCATGAACCCTTACACCGCGGCCGTCGATTTGACTGTCAAATGACGCGTGCACTGGCATCGCGCATCCTGCATGCTGCATAGTCAGAAGAGAGCGAAATGCAAAGACGGACGGAAGCGGCGTTGGGAAGGCTTAGACACGCGAAACGCCAATGACAATGTCAAAGGGCTGCCGAAAGAGAAGGAATCGGACTAAAGAAACAGACCGAGTTCCGGGACCCGAACTTCGCGGCGCAGGCTGGGAGGATTTCCACGAGGAAGGACGGGGTTTAAGCTACGTCAACGAATGGATGCGGTTACTTAACTCCGTGTCCATGGCGCATCTTTTGCCCGTTTAGGCCCCCACTTTCTCTCATTCCTTCCCTTGTCAGCTTGTCTGTGGCTTTTAATCACCAACGGTGTAATCAAAGGACGAAAAAAGACGAGCGATTGTCTTTGCCATTGGGCCAGCTACCTAGCTGTAAGCAAAGGACGCGCACGCGTGCGTGTGTGTGTGTGTGTGTGTGTGTGTGTGTGTACCTAGCTGCTACTATCGCTGCTACTGGCCACTTGGGGTAAGAGCGGTGCAAATGCGTATATAGATAACCTTTTCAAATGTCCTCCCGTTTCCCGCTCTGGTCTCGTTGTTTTCGAGCGCAACGACAACGACAACAACAACAACAACAACAACAACAGGGCATCTCAGCGCGCTTTCCGCAATTCCAACAAACAACACGGCAGTTCTACCGAGGAGGTTTCCGTTGGAAAACACCGCCGCCGCCGCCGCCGCGGTTCAGTACGACGACAACGGTCAAGATGAGCTCCATTGGCGGCGCGAGTATCGGCGCTGGGCTTTATGCTGCGGTGAGCAACCCGGCGCAGATTGCTGCCAGGCCCGAGGAAGCAGAGGAGAAGCGACATCATTTGAGGAATGGCAAGGGGTTTACGAATCCTTGGGATAGCTATGTGGATATTAGTCCATGGACTTTGTTGGTTAAGGGTATGATCTGGTAAGTCTATTCTTTCATTCTGTCTTTTATACATGTACCTTTTGGAAAGAAAAAAAAAAAAAGTCAAAAAGCAGCAAACCATGACCCGATGAAACCCACGTCCAAAAAACAGATGCATTAACAATTTATCCCAACAACGAAACTTACCTCCCCCTCAGGCGCAAACTCACCGGCCAAGCAAACACGCCCGACACAACCCCCCCAACAGTCCCCATCCGCACGCCCACCTTCTTGCCCTCGCGCGCGACCCCAAAACTGCGGGCGACTTGGCTGGGCCACGCATGCTACTACATCGAGTTTCCCTCGGGCTTCCGCGTGCTCTTCGACCCCGTCTTCGAAGACTGCTGCGCGCCCATCAATCTCAAGGGCCTCAAGCGGTACACGCCGCCGCCGTGTGAGATTGAAGACCTGCCCATTGTAGACGCCGTCGTGATTTCCCATAACCACTATGATCACCTTAGTTACCCGACAATTCAGCGGCTGCAGAAGAAGTTCCCCGAGGCGCACTTTTTCGCGCCGCTGGGGAACAAGGGGTGGTTTGAGGAGAGTGGGGTGAGTAAGGTTACTGAGCTGGATTGGTGGGAGAGTAGGGAGGTGAGGTTGCAGGAGGTGGCGAAGAAGGGAAGTGGGGATGCTGGGGAAGAGGGAATCATGGCGACGATTGGGGCGTTGCCGTGTCAGCATATTAGCGCGAGGACGCCGTTTGACAAGTGTAAGACGCTCTGGGCGAGTTGGAGCGTCGAGTCCGGTGGTGCCAAGGTGTATTTCGCTGGGTAGGTTTCCGTTCCCCTCTTATCATTCGCAGGCATATCACTAACTATTCTTACAGTGACACAGGCTACCGCACCGTCCCCTCTAACATCCCTGCCTCAGAAGACGACTACTCACACGCTTACTCCCACCTCCCCACCTGTCCCGCCTTTGCCCAAATTGGCCAGCATCGCGGACCGTTTGATCTCGGTCTCATCCCCATTGGTGCCTACGAACCCCGCTGGATGTTCAGCAATGTGCACGCCAGCCCCAAAGACGCAGTCAACATCTTCGCCGACACAAAGTGTAGACGCGCGCTGGGTATGCATTGGGGCACGTGGGTGTTGACAGAGGAAGATGTCATGGCGCCGCCCAAGGAGCTGAAAGAGGCATGTGAGTGGAAGGGGGTCAAGGAGGGGAGAGAGGGTTTTGGGATTTGCGACATTGGCGAGTCGTGCGAGTTTGAGAGTGGAGAGGGTGGGCAGAGGTAGAGTAGGAGTCTGCGAAAGCGATTGGTAGTTGGTGATGGATACCCAGAATGTGGTGTGGAGTTGATGAAGGACTGAGGGGCTGTAGTAATATTATGTAGTTTATAGCATAAATGTACTCTTTCATGAACGTGCCTCTCTTGCTATGCAAACATGTATTTTGTGAATCATGACTTTACGTCTTTTCCTTCCAAGCGCCTGCGCTGTATCCAGTCGTAGGCAGATTTCCTGGTGGGTACGTTGTAAGCGACGGAGCCATATACAGCGGACGGTAATTCTGAGAAGAGGCAGAAAATAAAAGAGAGAAGAGTCCCTCCATTAGTCCTTGAGCCGCGTACCTGCTATATCTTCTTGAGCGTCTCTGAGGAGGAAGCTGTGCAGAAAAAAAAAGGAAGTGGTTAGCTTCGAGTCATGTTTTCAAACAAGGATGGAAGGGGGGAAGCTTACTTGTACCACAAGACAGTCGGCACAACGGTGCCCAAATGCCACAGGCTATGCGCGTCAATCATGCCCATCCAAGGTGGGAAATCCAACAACTCCAGGCTCATAGCCATGATAATCCAGGCCACGCAGATTCCCGGCCAGACAGCCCAAGCCCTCCCAATCCTCTTGTACTGAACGTAACTAAAGCCGCTCCAGAGCACGTTGGACACAATGCCAACTGCTACATTCGCAGCCATGTTGTACGTGTAATCCCACGACCAAAGTGAGAGATACAACACATGCAGCGTATACAGCAGCACACACGTGCCCGTCCACAAGCGCAGCAGACTCTGCTTGCGCGGCTCATTGCGATCGAGTCTGAAGACGCGAATGGGCGCATAATACAGCCCATACAGCACATTTGCGCCGGCAGCAAAGTAATCCAGTTTCTCCGTCACACCAAAGTCGCGCGTGTGGAAAATCATGCTAAATGTCCAGCTGGCTAGCCCTACGTAGCCAAACATGATGTAGTATTTGCGCAGCGGGTACGACGCGGGTATCTTGTCGCGCAGCTGCGACATACCCCAGTCGTGCGCGAGGTAGTTGAACAGCGAGAAGATGACGCTGAAGGGCTCTTGCATGCCCATGAAGCGGTAGAAGGGCCATTTGCCGTGGAATTGGTAGATGGGCTGCATGTACGGAGGGTCGCGCGCGAGGCGCTGGGCGGTTACCACGTGTTGGCATGTGTAGTCGCATTCTGAGGGGCAGTCCCAGAGGAGGAGGCGGCGGTGAAGGGCTGGTTGAGGTGGTTTGTTAGGGAGAAGGGTCATGGAGAGGTAGAGAGGTGGGAAACGTACGGATTGGAGTGGCATTTTCACCACAATTGGCTTCGATGCAGACCTGGAGTATCAAATCTTGTCAGTTTTCCCTCTCCCTCTCCCTCTCTTCAACAGTTCCCAACAAGATCCCTTCTTGGAACAGCTTTTCCTACGACGAAATTCGAAGAAACGTACCTGTACACACTGCTTGAAATCAGGCAATCTGTCGCCCAAGGACGCCCGGACCACTCCGCATAGTAGAGTGAAGACGGCAATAGTTTGCCATGCAGATGCTATTCGGAGCCTCATCGTTCACCGAATATGTGTTTTCTGGCGGGCTTTTCCCCCCTTCAAAGTTCGCGTGATTGTCGTGATGGCTTGCACCTGCGTGGATGGACTATTGATCGGCAGGGTCTTGGCGGTCGCGTCGTCCGCTAACTCCGTGTTTGCGCGCTTGCTGCTTCCTCCCCTGAACAGTGCATTATCAACACGAATGATGGTAGGTTTTGCTGTAGAGTGGGATATTCATTTGTGTCCATTGATCTTTTCAAAGTACTCTCTGATTTCGTTAGATTCAATTGCGTCGAATTCGGGGTGATGTTCGCGAATCCCCTGACCTGTTGCCCGGCGGGCAGGGAACGGCACGAATCGGCCTTCTGGTTCCTTGATAACCCACCCACCCCCACTTCGAAGCTGAATACCCACAAAGATGGCCAGGACCTCAAGCAGCGCAGCATTTTCCTAAACATACGTACAATATGATAGCATTAATCTCAAAATTTCCCATGAATTACCAAAGGGCGTATAGCTCAGTGGTAGAGCGCCCGCTTTGCATCACGCAAACTTGCGGGAGGTCTGGATTTCGATCATCCATCCGTCCATTAACCAGGACCGGCACAGCGTGTCGACGATTCTATTTTTTGCCCTTTATTCTTTCTATTTTACTCACGCGATACCACTACACCTTAGCCTGGCATCATCTACTTTTTTTTTTGCATCATCCGTCACACTCTCGCACATGTCTTACAATGGAGGCTCGATACTGCTTTCTGGGATAGAAACAACTGTAGAGTATGGGACAGCGGTTTCATGAGCATATCACAACCGTCAAAGCATGACACAGTAGGCATTGCAGATTTCAAAAGACTTTGAGCGAACAACAAAAAAAAAGGGTGTAGTACATTCCCCATCAGGTATGTAAGTTCCTCCTCCTCCTCCTCATCATCATCATTGCCAGCAATTTTTTCCTTCTTCTTCTTCTCTCGTAAAACGTCTCATTTGATTACTCATGTTCATTTAGTCTCCCAGTTTGCAAATCCTTGCCCCATCGATTTCCCCTTGCTACTCTTCTTTTCGTTTCCGTTTCCGTTTCCAACACTCCTCTCCGTTTTTCTTCGCCCTCTCCAGCTTGTTCTATATGCCGTTGCCTCGCGTTGCTGGTTGTAGCTGCGCGATGATTTTGCTTGTCGGCGAGATGGTGGGCTTTGCGGTTTGCGGGTGGGGGGAGGGTTTGAGTAGTCCGTTGTAGGTTAGGACGGGGGGATGGGTGTAGTTTGTTGGCATGTTGGCTTATCGGTGGATGTTGTGTGTGGGCTTGGTTCGAGAAGTTGGGTATATGTCAACTTGTTTTGCGTCTTGTGTAGTTGAGGTTGCAGATGTGCGTGTGCATGTGGTGCCAACCAACCATCAGGAGTTGGAGATAACATGCCTGTTACTTTTTTTTTTGGAAGGATTCCAAACTGGCACATTTGAACAACCTTAGTCATTACATCAAATAGAATTAGGAGCTGCGTTGAGTTGGAGTGAAAAAAATGTATATGATATACATGGCGAAACAGAGTTATCAGGCCGCGCAACGGCGGAGTGCCACGAACAACAACAAAAAATTAAATCAAATCAATAAGTCCAACGCCGATAGAACATTCCAAACCATCCCCCACATGATCCCGGCGAGACAGACAACCGAGCCAATCGTCCAATCCATCATAGCCTTATTCATGTTTCCCTGACCAAGCCCCCAAACCAGGTATCCGCATCCGATTTCGTATTCCTCGTGCCCAAACCACTCCCAACCGGAACCGGGACCGCATAACCAAATCCATTCATAACGCGTACCACGGGGGTTGTTGTGGGCCAGGTATTCTACTCCTGCTGCGTCTTTCCACCACCCATGCGCTCAATATTTGAGAGCAGCCTACTCTTTCCACCACTCGTACTCCGGTTCAAGCCAGGGGCGCCCTGGAATTTTAGTCCGCTGCCTGGAGTGCGTAGGCCAGATGGCTTGGCAATGCCACTGCCACTGCCACTGCCACTGCCACTGCCACCGCGCTCGTTCATTGCGCCTAGTCGGTCACCCATTCCGCTGCCTGGGCGTCCGCCTCCAAGAGCAGATCCGGGGCGTGCAGGACCGCCGGCTAGGAAACCAGTGTTGCGCATAGCTTGTTGTTGGGGAGGTGCTCTTTGGGGCGGCGCTGGCTTTTGGGGTGGTGCTTGCTCCTCTTCATCTTCTTGCTCTTGTTCAGGCTCAGCTGGTGGTGCGGGCTTCATTTGTGAGCGACGGAAGTCTTCTTGTTGTAGCTCTTCCATTTTCTCGCCGCACATGGACAGCATTTGCTCAGCTGCCGCTACTAGCTCGCCCTTTTCTATTCGCTCTGCCTCTAGATCATCCACAAGAATGTCGTGTGATTTCCGGAGCGACTGAAGTTCTGACTGGAGACCTGCAAGCTTGGCCTTGAGGTTCTCAATCTCTGCTCTTTGTGCTTCCAGCATCTGAGCATCCTCCGCGTTCCGTGTAGGCTTCATCGGTGAAGCTCCAACGTTTTCGTCCTGCTCACCAGGGTTGATCTTGCTGAAAGTGTTGTCCCGCTTCTTTTCAGCTTCTTCGACTTGTCGTTCAAGGCGGATGATTTGCTGCTTGAGGTCTTTGCAGCGTTCGTCGGCCTTCTTTTGATAGTTGTCCTTGAGCGCCTTGATCTTCTTCTCGTGCTTAGCCTTGTAAGCGGTGTGAAGGTCGCGTGCAACCTCGTTAACCTTCTCGGCAATGGCAGACTGGCATTCAAGCTCAGAGTAAATCTTCTTGTTCTCGCCTCCCTCGTCGTTGCTAATGAAGGTGGTCATGTCGACATTCTTACTTTCAGCCTCGATAGCACGCGTCTCCAATTCAGATGAGCGACTTTCGGCGTCTTCTGCACGCTTCTCAGCATCGGCTAGTCGGGCAAAGAGCTCTTCACGTTCGGCATCATTGCGAGCCATCTCCGACTGGACGTCCTGTAGTAGCTTTGTGACCTCTTCGCCTTTTGACTTCCAGTCCACCATCTGAATCTCTGCGTACTCGCGGGCGGAGCGCTCATCGCGAACGGTTTCCTGCGCCTCACCAACACGACGCTCAGCATCTGCGATAGCCCTGGAGAGCGCTTCGATCTCGGCTTCTTTTCCTGACAAGCTGGCAGTGAGCGACGAGACTTGAGACTGAAATTGCGACTTTACGGATTCCAGCTCTCGGATGGTCACTGTCGGCAGAGATCGCGGTGTGGGTGGAGGTGGTAGCTCAAAGTCGAGCAAATTGAGGGTATGACGGTTCTGATTTGGTGTAGCTGGCACATGTGCGCCTCCTTTGGCAGGCGACCGTTGATTTTGGTAGTACGAGCGTAGGGTGGGTTCCTTGGTGGACTTGCTAGGCGACGTCTGGCGTGCACCCGACGTGCGACGGGACGTGGAGAATGACTCGATTTGAGCAGTAAAGTCCAAAAGAAGGTTTGTGGTATCATTGTCTTTGTATGATCGACGTGGTGTAGGACTGGGAGTACGTTCGCTACGACGGACTGTTGAAGGCGTCATCTGAGCACGAGGGCGAGGCGTGGCCTGGAGGAATCATTAGCATTTTACCATGATGGCGGGATGTGTGCATCAATATACTCACATCTAGCATTCCGTCCTTTGTCGGGCTCTGCTTGAGACCGGCAAACTTGGTCATGTCTATTCCAGGCATCTCGGAGAAGGTGCTGAAGCAGGTGTCGTCGATATCCAACGACGTGGCCTCTGGACCATCGGGGTTGAAGTCTGTGTTGTCCATGCCTGAGTCCAGGTCAAAACCGTGATCCCGCGAACTTGGCCTTGTAAAGCTTTCATCGCTTTCCTTGTGTGCCTCCATAAAGTTCATGGCGGCGGTCAGGCCTTCATTATCGCGCATTTCGCGCGCTTTCAGAGGGGAAGAAGCCGGTCGTTTCGATGGCGTGACAGATATCTCGGGGATTGAATCTGCCAATGATAGTTTGCGCTGAGTCGATTCGGCCGAAGGAGCATGGAATGACTTGGAGGGCGAGTGGCTTTTGCGAGAGCGGTTGCTCGTTGAAGACCCAGGGCGCTCCGTCGTCGCCTCCTTGACTGGAGAGGCACTCTCCCGAGGGCTTCCGACACTGGCCTTGAACACGGAGCCTTCAAAGTCGTCCATCAAATTCTTCACAGGCGATGTCTTCATGGGGCTTGTCCGCTCTTTCAGCACAGACTTTTTCTCTGGTGAGACCTTGAATGCGGATTGCGGGACATTGTCTTCTAAATCGACCAGCGGCTTTACAGGCGTGGTTGCAGCATCGGGTGCAACGTTCTCGCGGTCGTCGATTTCGATGTGCTCCACAAAGGGCGAAGAAGGCGGGTCGTGGTACCCCATATCGATGTCGTCCTCGATGACTATCGAGTCGGAGTGGGCGGTGTGCTTCTCTGGCGAGAAACTGGACATTGGTTCTGCCATGCCTGCGACCTGAGGATATCCCGTTTATTGGAGGGTGGTGCAGCAGTGCGAAGCGCATAGGAGTATTGTGTTGTGGCTGCTTGTTTACATGTCCGTGCACCCTGTTGCCCCTTCCCAATAGGGTAACCCCCGGTTTGGCCGATCACCATATTCCCATACCGTTACACTTGATGATATAAAACGGCGAGCCTCACAGAGGACTTTTGCTTTCTACACGGAATTTCTTCCGTATTCCCATGACTCGGGAACTTATTGGGCTTTCGTCGTTCGTGGTCATCTCAGCGACCGAGCCAATGTCTACATTTGGCACAAATCTTGATAGCATTCAACAAACTCGGCGACTATGTACATGGCTGATTGAAAGCCGAGCTCTACTCAATAGTTGATTGCGCCCCGCATCGCCCCAGCTAGTCTTTGGTATTCCTTCAACAGCTCATCCACCTCCTTCAGCTTGAAATCTTGTGCATCTTTAGCATCAACAAAGCGCTTCAGAGGTGGTGCCGTCCTTTTTAGTTGCTCTAATGCTGCAATCGCTTTTGCACCCTTTTCATCTGGTGGAGGCATTTCGACTGTCGTGGTTCGACTCAGTGGTTCGGGCGAGGGCGATGCCTTTGCCGGTTCCTGGCTCGGTGAAGGGAGGACAGGGGTGCTATTGCTACTCACAGCGCGTGCGAAGCGAGGAAGTACGTTTATACTAGAAAATCGATTCAAAGGATTGAAGCTGTTTCCCATGTTACGAAGAGAGTCAACCGCAGAGGTGTTGTTTGGTGGTGGTGGTGGTGTCTCTGTTTTGACTGCTGCGGGGGAAGCCGTCTTTTCCTCTGCGTTTTGTGCAGATGCAAAAGCGACGCGCCGACCGCTACTGCTGCCTCCTGACTTGGTAGAATCGACACTACGATCTCTCATCTGTCTTTTCCCAGCGAAGAGATCGGCCATTTTCGCATCTAGTCCTTTGGGGGCATTCTCCGGTGGCTCATCGCCTTGGACCGAACTTGCAGCGCTGATGCTCATACTGTCCTCATCACCATCTGCGCTAGTTGGGCTGACGAGCTTCCTGGCGTCTTCCAGTGTCTTAGGGAGTGCCGGCTGCTCTTGCATGGGGTTATCAGGGTTCTTCTCCTTTAGACCACCGAAGAAGAACTTGAAGCTTGTATCTAGCGTAGTGTTGATTCTCCCAAGTGCTTGATCAGCAGAGTCTAGGATCGAGTCCCGTACGGCATCAGAA